TAACGGAACTCCTACACAGACTGTAGGAAGTGCTGCTCCAGAAGAACCTGGCTATGTTTTCTACATGACCATGACACAAGATACAGGACTTGGAAACAACGTGACCCCCTTGCACAGCAAAAGCAGCATTGCATGATACCAGCAGACCATTTTTGATCCAGCTGCTCAGTGACGGAGACATATTCTAGGAGGAGTTGTACACACAAACTTCTGTTTCCATTTCCTGCCTCCTCCTTGCGAGCATCAAGAGATGTTTGTTTTTTCTTTTTTTTTTTCCGCTTATTTCTTTTTCCTTTAGTTGCCAATTTCTGCCTTGTAGCTCAGAAGTAACTCCATTTCACCGATGTTTCGTTGACTCCTGCAACCTTCCTTCTGAGTTGCGCTGCTACTAAAGAGCACTGGATTAGCTGAGCTGGGAACTCAGGTGCTTATTGCTCTTTGTGACCAACAGCCTGGCTATCCCTGCAGCTCTGCGTTGCAAGGAAGCGTGTGCACACGCAGAGCACTAAATTCAAGACAACATGCATCAGCATACGTATTGCAAAATGCCTGAGTTAGTACTAATGAGATCTGCATTAGATCATTACTATCACCTCCACTTTACAGCCCTTTCATTTACCTGTATGTCACGTATGAAAGCTACTGTCACACGTTCTTCGAACTCATTCACAGGAGTGTAGAGATTAAGTATTTTTACAATCTGTTGAAAACAAAATGGGATTACAGACAGTCATGAGAACAAGCCAAACCTTTCCAGAATACAAAGCACTAACAGCTTGTCTTGATATGGCCATCTAGAGAGAAGCAGAAGCAGCACAAGTATCATCCTGGTGCTCCTTTGCCTGCTGTAAGGTACAGCAAGCCTCTATGGACCTGTCAAAGTCATTTCTTATGCAATGTTTATAAGTTGGGAATAGACTTGAATAACAGATTTATTTAGGGACTCCCTTGGTTGGCACATAGTGACACGGGTGACCACCTCCCAGTACTTCTGATGACACCTCTACAACACTTCTCCTGATGCTCCCTCACTCCTGCTCCTCCACTCTCACCTCTCAGCTCCTCTCAAGAACACATGCTCAAGACAGGGAGATGGAGATACAGAAGAAAGGATCCCCAAGAATCATCGGAGATCATCTCACACCTCTCCCTTCTCCCTTCCTACCACATTATCAAATTAAGGCCAGGCAATGCAGCAGCATAAAACATAAGTTTATATCCTCCTGGAATGGAGTCCCAAAGTTTTAAGTTTGGATCCAGCCAGCCTAGGTGGCACTGGGAGACCACCCTTTCCCACTCCATTAATTATCAGTGCCCCCTGGTGTAAATCTCTGCCCTGTTCCCTACCTGCTGCATGGTGAGTGATGTGCACAAGGAGCAGATGGCCTCGGCATCTTCTGAGGTTTTCTTTTTCAGCTGCAGCAGCTGTGCTGCCTGAATCAAGGGCTCCAAAGTTTTTGCTGCTCCACTCTGCTGCAGGTTCTTCGCATGCAGCCATTCCTCCAGCTGGCTTATGTTAAACCTGGGTAAGCAGCCAAGGTGAGACGTGAGCTGAGCGCCGAGAGATAAAGCAAAATTTACACCCTGTGTACCTTAGAAATAGATGAGCCATGTAACAGCTGAACAGCACATGGAATGTGCTTTTCTTCAACATTCAGATAAGTTCAAGTTTCAGAAGTCAATTAAAATTAAGCTTTTAACAAGCTTTTAAATGCTAACAAAATCCTGCGAGGCACCTAAATGCCTTTGAAAATATCTACACAAAAAATGCCTTTGCCTGTGCCCATTCCCAGGCTCAAGGGAACATGCAAAGGATCCACTGTGGGAAGGGGAGAGGGTAGCAAAACCAAGGTTTAAATCACTTACACCAAGAAGTAAGTAGATAGATTTATGCCAGGGCTGATAAATAGTCATAACCCCTTTCTGGCAGGTTTGCACTACCTGTCCTTTCAAATTTCAATCCTTATTACAAGACTACGCTAAGAGAGTGGTGGGGCACGTGGACCCCTGATCCCAGCCCAGCAGACGTCCATGCTGCCACTTGCTGGCAGCTCACGAGAGGTTGGAGGCACTGCGCAGAGCAACAGGGGTTTGTCTTTGAGGTCCACCTGCAGGATCAGATCCTTTGGCACTACTTTTGTCACGTTTAAAATGGCAGACACGGCAGTGGGAGAGAACCACGGAGACTTCTCCATCCCAACACGTAACCCACCCTACATCACCTGGTGTAGTCACTGGGCCGTGCAGGCTTCCCACTCAGGCTGGGTGAGGAAAGGCTGGGGAAAGCCAACCCCAGAGATAATTACTGTAACACAGACTTAATTCACAAGTGGCACAGCAAACTGCATCACACAGGCACTACTCAGTGGGGGTGAGCTTTAACTGCCACTGCGTATGTCTCCTGCTGAGTCCAAACAGTTTCTCCCCTTACTTACACTGCTGCATTTTATTTTCCTATTTTTCCACCAGCTTATAAAACTAACAAAACGGCCTTAAGCAGGTACATCCCTGCCCCAAGCCCGTGGACCACCTTAGCTGCATGCCCGTGCTCCACGAGCAGACATCCTTCCGCAGGAGGAGATTGTTCAGGGCGACTGCGTTGATCATGTAGAAGAGCTGCTTGAAGACCTGCTGTATGATCTCTGGGTCCAGGCCGTGGTCACACATGATGCTGTGGAACGTGTTCAGCTGGCGAATGATTGTGTCTAAGCTGTAGGAGCTGTCACTGTCTGCCATGTTGGAGGAGTGACTCCTGTAGCCCATCCGTTTGATACCGGAAAGTCCCTGGATACTTTCATATTCCAACACTGCAGGCACTGAAAAAGGGAGAAAAACAAGCTAAAAAAAGCCTGCATCCACCTATTAGTCACTAGAGGTAACAACTGGTGCCTCCATGGGCAGTCATAAACGTGCAGCAGTCTCAGTGATGCAACATGATGGATGCTGGGCAGTCTGAAAGGAGGACAGATCCATGAACTGCTAGTTTATCGTGACAATATGAAATAGTGGAAGCATACAGAATATCTGTAAGATCACACTTTTTTTTCCCCACTCAGTGTTATTTCACAGATATCACTTACCATGCTGCAGAAACTGGGAACACCTCTCCTTTGAGTTGTAATCAACTCTCCCTCTACGCCCACCACAGAGCCTTAAACTCTGCAGTTAAAATGATTAATTGGCTCAAAGGATTGGGAGAAATGAATATAGATGAAAAGTAATAAAATCCTTACAGCCTGACTAACTGATAGAGGAACAGGACAACTTTCTTCAAGGAGCAGGAGGTACATGCAGCAATGGTAGGAGATGATGCCATCAGATACAGCCAGAATTTGTACAATGACATTTGGAGGGTACAGGGAAAGATTTCCAGATATGAAGGCACCCAGGCTGGGAACTCAAGGAAAACATCAGCAGCTAGAAAATACATAGCACTGAGAACAGCCCCTCCATTAGCTTTGCAAGGAGGACAGATTTAGCTGAGAAGGTAACTCTTCTCTTACTGACTCACCTTTATTAGTCTCTCTTTGTCCTCTTCTCAAGTCTCTCCTCCCTCATAATGTGCATTTCCACCCATAAAAAGCTTAACCATGAACCTGATATGGAGGGGAACACTGTTCTAATGACCCACCAGCACCACCTCAGCTCAGCCACCACCTCCCCAACAGAAAGGAAGGAAGGTGGTATATTCTACCTTGGGGGAAAAAAAACTCATCTCTATTAGTTTCTGTCATAGGGAAAAATAAGAACTCGTCCAGGTCTGCCTCCCTAACTCCAGTCACTGCTGACACGAGGACCTGCTCCAAACCAGTAAGTTTTTTGTAACATAAGCCTTTTTGCCAACTGCAGCCTTTTCCTTTGGGGAGAAGTCATGCTAGCACCGTACAAAGGTCTGAAAAACAGTCAGAGGACATAATTACAGCAAAAAAAACCCCAAACCCTGCCTTCCTAAAAGCTAACATGCTGTGAACTTACCAACCATGGGTTGGAGCACGCCCTCTGCTACCTTAATGAGCTGCTGGTAGATCTGGATGGAGAGGCGGCTCAGCACCTGGTGGTACTCGGTCAGGTCAAAGTTCTGCAGGCAGTGCTCATTCTGCTTAGGTGTGTTTTGTGTCATGAAATTCTGAAGAGAAGATTAAAAACCCGCTTTCATTACGACATCTATTTATAGTCCAGTGAAATCACTGTATTAAAAAAACACCTTAGAGTACAATGTATCCAGGTATGTTACCAAAGTACATTTTTACACTATTATAGAAAAGATCAAGACTCATAAATCACCTTTGATTTACTCAGCCATTTGCTCATAAATTATTACTAGAGGGATGCTTTTTGAAGAAAAGCTTCAGTAAGCAGTAAGTTTTTCATTTTAGCTTTAGTGAGGAGCAACGTTTGTGTTAACTGCAATATAGATTAGGAGATCATAGAATCATGGAATCGTCTGGTTGGAAGAGACCTTCAAGATCATCGAGTCCAACCATTCACCCTGCACTGTCAGGGTCCCTAAACCATGTTCCTCAACACCAAATCCACACGTTTTTTAAACACCTCCAGGGATGGGGACTCCACCACCTCCCTGGGCAGCCTGTTCCAACACTTCACAACCCTCTCTGTAAAGAAATTTTTCCTGATATCTAACCTAAATTTCCCCTGAGATGACATTTGAGTCCCTGAGAAACTTTTTTTAGTCATTTGTTTATCCCTGTGAGTTGCAATTATTTATGGGAAACCAAATATTTTGAGATTAAGATTTTAGAAAATAGAAAAAAAAATGACAATAACCACATGCTATACACTCTGACAGCATTTTAAACTGATCTGAAGCTCAGAAGTCTCTCCAAGTCACTGAACTTATTCCCTGCCGTTTGCTGAAGAAGCAGCTGATCTCTGATCCTGCAAAGCAATGTTGTAGCCCTGAGTTTTGGGCTCATATATTAATGCCAGTTTTGGTGGCATAAGCAAATGTGATCTAAACTCAATTTTGTAAATAACACAGATGCTTTAATTGCCTGTTCATATGGTCTTATCCATTTGGTCCCAAAACGAGAACCATGCAAGACTTTTTGTTGTATTTTTGGATTTTGCTAGTCAGCAAACAACAATGGACAATTTGACTTGGCTTCAGAATTTCTTATTTTTCCTGGCTAACAAAAAAAGCATCATACTCCTTGCACTGCAAGATTGTGCTTAGTTTGGGATTTTCCTTTAAACTGGTTTATTAAAAATAGGTTGGATTTCAAACTAAAGAGAACAGTGTTTCGGAAACTGCTCAGAATGATTTTTCCCTTATAGAATCATAGAATGGTTAGGGCTGGAAGGGACCTTCAAAGGTCATCTAGTCCCCCCCCTTCCGTGTTTTTGTTTTTTTTTTTTTTCCACCAAATTATCAACTGAATTTGTAAACAGCTGGTTCATTTAACACAGTAAATCATTGCAAAGAATGAAATTTAAGTTTTGGTTTTTGGTTGGTTTTGGGTTTTGTTTTTTTTTTTAACTTTGCTGGTTTTCTGGGGAGAATTTGCTTTTAATGTAATGTTGTTATCCGGGCAGAAGAGGGCAAACAGGAGCATAACTATTAGTAACTATTATCTGAATTATTTTTCTTTGTAATTTAAATCTTGGAAGTCCAGCACTGAGATTTACACACCAGTCACTATCTTGTGAATGATCTGAATTGTTAATTTGATTACATGACATTTTTTTCTTTATTCTTAAAGCTTGATTGCTCAATATATCTAACACAAATTGAGACTAAATGAGAAATGACATAATTTGGCTCTATTGAAAATTTTAATATCCAGAACATATGGCTACAAGGATGGCAGTCTGCAATGTACTAAGACGACTGTGATGATCTGATTTTGTCAGAGGGGATCAACTACAGTAAAACTTATTTCAACTTATGAAATATTACTGAGATGACAAGAAATGAGTATTTCCTTCCAAAGTCTTACATTGCAATTATGCAGTTTCACTCTTTCAAAGTGTGGTTATTTCAAACTAGTTGAACAGAACAGGAAAAAATCAGTACAAATATTCAGAATAAAATTGCAGGATTTGGAACACTTTTCCTCTGTCTGAAAATCTTGGTTAATGAAAAGCTGCAGGACCTACACTAAAACTAGGAGAACAGCCTTCAAAACAGCCTACCAGAAGGAAATCCCCTGTTCAGACAAATGAAAGTGCATGGCTGGCCACGAAATTCAAAATATTCTGTTGCATGTTGTGTTGCAAGGGTCCTGGTCTCAGCTCTCAAATGCCTTGTCTTGGTGTAATGTCCCACGAAACTCTGGTCTAGTTCAGACTAGATATAAGGAAGAAATTGCTTACGATGAGAGTGGTGAGACACTGGAACAGGCTGCCCAGAGAGGTGGCAGATGCTCTCAGCAACCTGATCTAGTTGAAGATGTGCCTGCTCATTGCAGCGGGGTTGGACTAGATAACCTCTAAAGGTCCCTTCCAACCCAAACTATTCTTTGATTCTATGACTCTAGGAGCTGCCACATGCCATATCCAAATCAATAAAGGAGGAAAGTCAGAGATGGCCCCACGTTGGCGCCAGAGGGAAGCCATGAGACCCAGGAGATTTGAGGACCCTCCCTGGAGCAATGCCAGAATACTCAAGATCAGAGACGAGTTTCTTACCGCTTCTCCGCTGTATTGCCTTAAACAGTGCAGTAGGCGGCACGTATTCGCCAGCCAAAATGACGTCATCTCGAAATCATGGTTGTGTTTCTGGAGGAGCAAAATTAAAACATGTGAGACCCTCTGCTTCAGTGGGGAGTGCTGGCACAGTAAGACAAAATGACTTTGAGTTTCACCACCTAGGTGAGGAAGGTCTCTCTCTGCAGGTGGGTACTATTAGCCATTCCTTCCCTGCAAACATTTGTAAATGCAAACAGTTTTATTACTAAGATCATAATTCTCCTTGTTCTTCTAAAAAGGGAAGCTCTAAGAATGATTTGGTTTGAAAATCACTATGAGAGCTGAATATCACACACTTTGACTTGGTTATAACCATCCTACACCACCTTAAGCCCAAGACAAGAGAAAACTGGCACCTACTTTCAGCACTTTCTTAATGCCATTGATGGTGGAGGTGAGCAAGGAGTGCAGTTTTTGGTCATCGCTGATGTAATCCGTGTGCCTGATGCACATGTAGAGGATGTAGGCAGGAAGGCAGGGAACAGTAGCAGACACTGCCTGTGGCTTGAGATCTAGAAGGATTGGTTTGTGATTTTTTTTTTTTTTAAATCATCTTAAAATTCAGCAACAGCTAGATGAAGCAGGGAACACAAGAGCTGGAGACATACCCAGGCAAACCCCTCTCCCCTCAGCCCTGGAGAAGCCAAGTTTTTGGCTCTGCAACTTGCATCCCTCTCTGCAGCATGGACACAGAATCAGAGGTCCAACTGCAGGACAGAGGGACCTGCTGGAGCTGGCCAAAGCAGAACAGCCAGAGCACCAGCACTTGGGAGGGCAGCACTGTCTGCGCTGAGGTTTGTGACACTATCCCATTATGCCTTACGGATGCACAGGGAGCACTAGATCTTCACCATGTGAAAGCCTAGGTGAGCAGCACGCAGCCTTGGGAAAACTCCCTGAATATTTCAGGAATAACCTCTTATGGGTTACAAACCCCTCCTCTGAATTCATGACTTATTAAAT